AGTGTTGAAGAATATTTAGTTCCTCTTTAGTTTTTGCATATGGTAGGACTTACGTTTTTTACAAAGCCCGTGAAACTATGAATTCTACCTCCTTTATGTTTGATCCCATTCAGAGAGCCTTAGAGTCGAGCGGGAATGTAAGCATTGCCTTCCTCACCGTTTAATACCAGACAGACTCGCCGAGGACACTAGTAGATAAAATGGGTAACCGCAGAGCCGTCTGGTTGAAGTGGGGTTGGTCTGTCTCCCCACAACTTCTCCACAGTCCAACTAATTCTTCCCCTCCTAAGAGGACCCCCGGGGAGGGTGTCACGCCACTGCAGCTACGAGACCACAGTTTGAAAGTCTCTCATTTTGTAGATAAGGACGGGGAGGCCCAGATAAGTGTGGTAATTTGCTCGAAGTTACACCGCTTCTCTGTGGCAGAGCTAAGGCTCAAATCCAGACTTTTCTACCCCCGATTAGGTCAAAGCTCTTCCCACTAAATCGTACTTGCCTCTCGCCTTATTTGTCAAAGTCTCCAGGCTTCAAGGACTAGCTGAATTCCCACCTTCCTTGTGATGCCTCAGCCCCCGCTGATGGCTACTTTCTTAGGTTCCCCTCATTCTCATGGTCTGGGCCTCTCACCAAGCACTCCATCACTTTGTCTTCTTTACTTTTTTTTTTTTTTTCCAAGATTTTTATTTATTTGACAGAGAGAGAGATCACAGGTAGGCAGCAAAGCAGGCTGAGGTGGGGGTTGGGGGAGCAGGCTCCCTGCTAATTAGAGAACCTGATACAGGGTTCAATCCCAGGACCCTGAGATCATGACCTGAGCCAAAGGCAGAGGCTTAGCCTCCTGAACCACCCAGGTGCCCCTTTATTACTTTTTTTCCTTCTTTCCTCTCCAAGATTTGAAATTCCCATGGGTAGATCCCCTTTATCTACTTCTGAATATCCCAGGAAACAGCATGTGCCGTCCTGGAACACAGCCCACAATTAAGGATTGAAACCGTGAGTAGCAAAGAGTCGAATTGTTCCCCAATATCCATCCTTTCATTATTTTATTAGAAGCACCTAAGTTGAAGAAATGGCTGCTGGCTAGAAATTCTGTTTCTCAGCCTCTCTTGCAACCAAGCACGGCCATGTGACTAACTTGTGGCTAATGAAATGGGAACAGATGTAACACATGCAACTTTTAGGTCATTTTCTTGAAAGGACATTGCTCTCTCTCCTCTTCACTGAAGAAGGTCCTCTTTCCCCTTGGACTTGGCTGAGGTGGTGAAATATCTTCAACCATGGGGAGGAGAGCCATACTCTATGGGATAACGGAGCCATAAGATCCAGGAAACCTCATTGCTCAGATGACTTCATGGAGCAAAGCCACCTTGGTCTGCCCACATACCTCTCAGCTCTTTCCTGAAAGAGAAATACATGTTTATCTTTCAGAGTCTTTTGGTTACAGCAGCTTGCCATGTTCCTTAGCTAAAACAACAACTATAATAATATCTGCCATCCTGGTTTACACTTTATAACAGTCAAACCAGATTCAAGATGCCTGGGTGGCTCAGTCCGTTAAGCATCTGCCTTTGGCTTGGGTCATGATCTCAGGGTCCTGGGATTGAGTCCCGCATTGGGCTCCTTGCTCAACGGGGAGCCTGCATCTCCCTCTGCCTGCCGCTCTCCCTGCTTGTCCTCTGTCTCTTCTGTCTCTCTCTGACAAATAAATAAAATCTTTCAAAATGAAACAAACAAACAAAAAAATCAGCTTATACTTGGTGTGCCTGGGTGGCTCGGTCGGTGGAGCTTGCGACACTTGGTTTTGGCTCAGGTCAGGTCATGACCTCAGGGTCACAACATGGAGCCCCAAGTGGCTCTGCGCTCAGCAGGGTTTCTGCTTGAAGATTCTCTCCCTCTGCCCCTCTCCCCCACACATGCATGTTCTCTCTCAAATAAATAAGTAAATCTTTAAAAAAAAAAAAAAGGTCATACTTGCAGTACGTCTTGTAAAGTATTAAATAAAATTCTGATATAAAATATTATTGCACTTAAAAGAGAGAAGACCCATGACATGTGTGCTTGATGCCTTCAGTAAAATGTGCTGAACACCTACAGTATGCAGGGGACGGAGAACAATGCTGATATTGAGGGCAAACTCTGTCAGGCACTGTGTCCCTCCGTCATTTCATTCCATGAGCCCAGTAATCCCATGAAGTGAACTGAAACACAGGAGCCCAACTCCCCTGCGCACGCTGATGTTACCTGGTAAGCAGCTGGCTTAGTCATTCCCAGGGCCACCTGCCCCAGAGCCTGGGCTCTTCCCCCTCTGCTTCTGAGGCTCAGCTCCTGTGGCTACTGCCCCGCAAGGACACACAGACACGTGAGGACAGACTCACAAGCAATGAACTCTACCACAGGGCAGGATGGAAAGAGTGCTGCATTTGAGGCCTAACTGGCTAATTCCAACCTAGGGGCCTGGGAAGGGTGTTTGCAGAGAGATCCTGTTGGCACTGACCTTTGAGAAACCAGGGGAAGAGGATAAACAGAGAAGAGAGAGAGACATGACCAGCGGAGGGACCAGCATGAACCCAAACAGAGAGATACAGAAAAAGAGAATAAGTGTGGGAAAGGACAAGCGGTCCAAATCAACTGTGAGGGCTTCCCAGGAGGCGATGAGGGTGAAAGTCAGGCCAGGGCCAGACCAGAGGAGGCCTTGTGCTCCAGGGTAATGCTGAGATGCTGCTTTTTCGGCACCAAGGAATCACAGATGTTTGAGGAGGGATGTCATGTAACCCAGTGCCCGTGCCAGCATGAAGGGACAGGCAAGAGAAAAGGCTGAGCATTTGGGCCACTGCGGAGCCATCCGGGCAGCAGCTGATGACAGCCAAACAGAAGGCCACACGCAGGCCTCGGAGATGCTGCCTAGCTGTGGGGACATGAGCATTTCTCTGAACCCCAGCAGCCAGTGACAAGCCTGATAATAGAGTCTCTTTTCAAAACTGGCTACCATCCTCATCTCCAATTTTAGACTCAAATTCCTTTTTTCATTTTCACTTTCAGGGAAGAGGGTTTCTTCAGGGTGTGTGTGTGTGTGTGTGTGTGTGTGTGTGTGTGTGATGTCTTATACTTGAGATAAAGCAACAGTCAAGGCCCTGGATCCCGCCACCCACCCAGCAGCAGACACGGCGCCGCAGCCTTCTGAGAGGCGTTCCATTCCGGCCACCTCCCTCACTTTAAGTCAAACTTCCACCAACACACATAAAAAATGAATTCCAGTGTCACACACCTCTCAGCGTGTCAGTGTGCCGCGTGCCTGTTTTGTGGCTTCTGCATTCTTGGGGAAGTGGTGGAGCTTCCTAGCAGACAACTGTGGTAAACAGTAGGCATCCTAAGGAAAACCTTGAGAACAAATAGCTTGGATGCTTCGAGGCAAAGGCCAAGGCGGTAAGCAGTGATGGAAAGTGTGTGCGTAACCCTCCTGTACCCTCTTACCCCGACACACACTGAGGTTTCTCTTTCATGGTTGTTTTAGCCTCTTTTTCCTCTCCAACCACCGACCACTCAATTCTTTGAGGGAAAATTAACATTCATTATGCAATTTATCTCTCTCCTTTTAATCCAGAGTGTCTGTCTCCAAGGTCCCTACTCAATAATTAATGTTTGTTCTCATTTCCCATTCTCCAGAGCATCCATTCTTGAACTGTAGGGTCAACAATTAACACTAATTATGGCTTTTCCTCTCTCCAGTGTTGGTTCTTAGAATCCCAAGTTGCCCTGCTCAGCCTAAGTTATGTGTGCATGCGGCTGGGTCTGCACTCTGAGGAGGAAAAACACCAAGGAACGGGCTTTTCCAAGCCCACCACAGTTTAGCAAATCATTAAAAACAAACATTCTTTTTTGGCAACCTCTCTAGTATATTTTTTTTATCAGTAATGAGACAAGGAAGCATAAATACTTACATACACGTATTTGGAAAGTAGTAGGGAGGGGAGGCAGTTAGAGCATTTCAAAAGCTTTTTCAAGTTGAATTTTCTACGATTCCGCCTGACTTTTTCCTCCCTATGGTTATCTCCTCAATATCTCACACACACCCCCACCCCACATGCACCCCAGATTTCCCATTAAAAACTGTTCTTCCGGGGCGCCTGGGTGGCTCAGTGGGTTAAAGCCTCTGCCTTCAGCTCAGGTCATGATCCCAGGGTCCTCGGATCGAGCCCCACATCGGGCTCTCTGCTCCACGGGGAGCCTGCTTTCTCCTCTCTCTCTGCCTGCTTGTGATCTCTGTCTGTCAAATAAATAAATAAAATGTTAAAAAACAAAACAAAACTGTTCTTCCATCTCAGATCCACTCAGCTGACCTCTTTGCTAGCATCACCATCCCTCGCCCTTAAAATTGTCTTTCTCTGGTCCATCAAGCAAATTCTCCTCATCCACTAAAACAGCATTGTTTTAACCAGTTTTCATTTTGACTGACAAGGACAGCCAGGAGAATGATTCTCGCCCAAGGTAACTTTAAGAAATTGGAAAAAAAAAAAAAATTCAGGGCTGTGCAGAAGCCTGTCTGTCTTCTTGGCTGGATCAGATGGGCTAGAATCCCTCCTGTCTCCCCTGGTCCAACCCTTATATTTGCGCTACAGCTGCAGGCTGGGGCTCCCACTTGTCTGTCATCCCCCCATCGGTGCACGCACTGGGGCCCCACAGCACATCTGCTCTTCAAATCTGGGCATCTCCTCCTAGCGTGTGTCAGGCATTAACTGTTTTGTGCTCTTGCTCTGTCAAAAGTTCTCCTCTCAGAATTTCAGCATCATGGTCCCTACTGGATTTCACCCTTAAACACCTTAAACAAAAGTTATTCTTTTCCTTGATGCTTTTAAAATCCCAGCTCAATCTTCTCTCCGTGATGGCATCAACAGATTTTTTTTTTAAACCACTCCATTTATTATGAGAATTCTTGAGGTAAGAAAAGTAGCTTTTTTCAAGAGTTTTCCACACTAACAGGTAAAACGCCTCTTGTTTTTCAGCCTATGAATCTGTCCGTTCAAATACCAGCCATGAAAAGGAGGGGTCTAGAATTCAATGTCCCCTAAAAGGTAAGCTTTTCCTCTAAAGAAGTCACCTCTACTTCTCCTCTAGATCATGGGATTTGCATGCACCTTATTCCATACAGGGACCTCTAGAAACACAATTTCTCCACAAAATGGCAATAAGGAGGAAAGAGGATTCGCTTCTTGGAGAGCCTGGGCAATGTGGTGTCCTCGTGAGTGACCCATAAGCAACACTGTGTGCTGTGGTCGGAGTGTAAATATTAGGGGAGAAGAGAAGCCAGACTAAGAGCTTGTGCTTAGCTCGCCCAGAAGGAAAACGTGCAGGGACGTCCTGTGGCTTCTGCAGGCCACACGCCGCACCCCTCACAGTATAACGAGGTGGGCACGGCCCCCAGAATTGTGCACAGCTCCATCTGCACAACCACGAATGAGGAGACTCTCTGGAACATCCTCTCAGGCATGTATTCAAAACGAAGGACTGAGGCCAGGTTTTCACCTTCCACGCTTCCTTTCATACTCCGTTTCCCCCACGTAGAAAGAAGCAAAAACTAGGAGCATAAGTTGACTTTACAGCTCATCCCCTCCCTCCCGCCACTGCTGCTTCTGCTTCAGCCCGGGGTGGGGGAAAGGATGGTTATGTAGAGACCTTTTCTCTCTCCTAAAAATAGTCTTTGATTAATAGAGAGACGTGTGTGGTCTTCCTCGCTGCTTGTTTTGGGACAGGCGGCAATGAATCCTGAATGAGGGACCCGCTATGGTGACAGGAAGCGATGCCCCAGATGGAGTGCTGGAGCCAGGGCTTGGGGGGGGGGGGGGACTGTTTTTGCCAGAGACTACAAAACCAGAAGGAGAACAGGCACAATCATACGCTTGCCACTCTCAAAATCTGTAAGCAGAGAAGTGCCCGAGAACTTGGCATTCCGCATCACCCCTCCTGCCATTTTCCTTGGATGGACATCCTGACCGTGGTGGGAAGTTTCAGCGTCAGTGCGGTTCATTCTCACGTGTTGGTCAGTTTCAAGGGCTGCTCTTAACAGGAGCCCTCTAGGGAAGGATGATGATGATGATGATGGAGGTGATGGGGATGATGGAGATGACAGCTACCACTGTTGTCTGGCTTTGACATGCCAAACGCTGTGCTGAGTGCTTGACAGTCATCATTTCACTTCATTGTCACAGCAATGATATGAGGTAAAGTCTATCATTATCCTCATTTTTCATCTAGGACAGTGTGGCTCAGAGAGGTTAAGGGACTTGCCCGAGGTCACACAGCTAAGTGGAGACACTGTGATTTGAACCCCAGAACCCTGCTTTTTTACCACAATGAATGGTGAGGAGTGATGTCAGTCAAACAGGCATGTTGCCATCTGACAAAATGGAGACTTTAGGAAGTTCCTGACTTTATGACACACATAAATGGCTTCTGTTGCATATTCTTCTCTCACTCCAGTTACCCTTAACTTGGCATCAGACACCCTTTTGAGGGTAACACTGAAAATGTTTTGCAACTTTTAGAAACATGGGGAGAAGGGAGCTGGAAAAAAAAAAAAAATAGGAACAGTCTGAGAGAAGCCAAGCTCTTGAGACAGATTTTCTAGGAAGATAGGCCATTTATAGGGTAGCTCTCCCGACCAAAAACATTCTTCCTAATATAGCCAAAAATGCTGTAATTTCACTTCATTCTACTAAAACCTTATTAATAGATTCACTTTGAATTCAGAAATATTCTCTTAAAAGTTTGATACTTCTGAGAAGCTAATAGTCATTCACACTTTAGTCATATATATTTAATCATACACACACACACACGCACACACAGATATACACACACAATCTCCATCCAGATGGCTGTTCTCTTGCAACCTAGCTGAGAACTGCTGTTCAGAGGGACTAAAAATTCTGACAGGGGTAGAAAGAGAGGTGGGTAATTTGAGGGTAAAGGGAATTTTAAGAATTGAAACATGCCTGACTGGTGGATTGATCTGGAGGGCTTGGACGAACTGAAGACATTAGCTATATGGAGGAAAAAAGAAGAAGAAAAGTACAGAAAGGGATACAGTAAAGCGCCAAAGACAAACTTGGACTATTTCAGAATTGCCCCATGGCAAGCTCTATATTCAGGAAAAGGAAAGGAAACTTTTATTTCTTCTTTTCTCTACTCCTAGTAACTAAAGACCTTAGGCTAATGCAAATCTCTTTCTTATTTCCAAGCTTTTGAATATCCTATTGCCTCTGCCTGGAGTACAATTCCTCATCTCCTTCTATCCCCTAAGATTTTTTAAAATTATGGTAAAATATACATAACATAAAAATTGCCATCTTAACCATTTTAAGTGTAGCATTCAGTAGTGTGAAGCAGATTCACATTATTGTGCAACCAATCTCCAGAACTCTTTTCTTGGAAAACAAATGCTGTACTTACTAAGTAGCAACTCCCCATTCCAACAGGCCTGCCCTTATAAGCTTAGGGCACCTCTTTTAGGGCTTAGATGTAGGACACATATTTGCTCCCTTGATTTGCTCAATGACCTTAACAAAAAATGCTTGTATCTCTTTGTGCTTAAGACTCCCATTTGTTTTTAAGAAAATGGATACAACACTACTCTGAGAATACATAATACTCCCTGGCATTGAATTCAAAGAGCAATTTAAGACTCCTATTCATTGGACAGACCTATAGATCTTTCACAACTTTTTGTTTTCTTTTTGGCCATTTGGTTTGAATGAATATTTTCAGGAAAAAAATGACAGGATTCTAAAGAATTACATAGATGGCGGACTTTGGGGATTTGTGGACTTGAAGGTCAGTTTCCCCTATTTGTAAATGACTTCGCAGATCAGGGATACAGACAATACGTCATCTTACAGAGGCCTGAAGTCAAATCGAAGACATTACAAGGCGGTAAAACAGAAGACCATCCCTAGGCTAGTTAGTGAGTGCTCCTAGGGCTCCTCTGAGCACCCACATCTCACTGTTGTGATCTATATTCATTATAACTTGTGCCATTACTCTTGTGAAGTTATTTTTCAAAAAGAAGAACACTGATTCTCTTCATATAAATATTGTTTAATGGACCTAAATAGAAGGCCAGTTGCTGGGACTGGTGATGAAAGCAAGAGAAAGTGATGTGGTCTAACATTTTGGTGGTTCTCTGCCCAAAAAAAAAAAAAAAAAAAAAAAGTTTTATAAATCACCCTAACCCTTTATTTATAGACTCATTAAGATCTTGAAGAATTCCCTCTCTTTTTATTGGGGATATGATATGCACTAGGGGTATATCTAAGGATTCTTGAAATTCTCAGAATGTGTCCCTTCCAAGTAGTCAGAATCTGTGGTTCACTTAGTGTATAATATGCACAAGGGATCAGGGCCTTGTTCGAGCTGTGAGGTAGTGCTTAGCCCAAAGCATTTTAAGGCTGGTATGGATTTTAAGATGTATGTGTGTGTATGAGCTTTGAGTACATGAATGTATTACCAGTTATATGTCTCAACCTATAATAAAGGTTACAGTATTATTTTTTCTTCTGTCAGAATGATCAAAAAATTATAACTTTCATTAACTAATAATCCATTAATACTCTTTACTGTTTTATCACTCCTCAGACATTTGTGCCGTAAAGAAACAGGAGGCTTTTCTTTAGGATTTTTTTTCCTTCCTAGCTTCTCCCTTGCTTCTTTCACACACCTTCCTGTGTGGTTTATGGATTTTCATTTACTGTTGTTTTAATTCTCCACAATTCCTTACTTGGAAAATAACGAAGACACAAGCATTGGAACATGCCCAATAGAAAGAATTAATGAGTCTGCTTTACAAAGCACATAGGATTGCTCATTTATTTATTCATTCAACAAACACTAATTGACCATCTACTAATGCCATATACAGCGGAAGGCACATGAATACAGTTGAGAGACAAAGTCCATGCCTTAGTGTCATCCACAGGAGTGACGTATGGGGACAGCTATGAATGAGTGCAGACTCACTCAGCCTGGAGCTCGAGAAAGCTTTAGGAATGAGAGAACACATAAGCTGACTTTCTGAGGATATATGTAGGAACTAGCCAAGTGGAGAAAAGGGAAGTATGCTCCAGGGAAAGGGACTACATTAAGGTTGGAGAACATGGTGACATAGAAGAAATGGAAGCGGCTTCTAACGACGGGTCCCCAGGGCACAGGTAGGGAAGGGAGTGGGGAGAAATGCAGTTAGCTAGTGATGTGGTCAGGAGCCAGATCAGGAAAAGTAACTGCAGCAACTAAGAAATTTATCCCAGAGATTGTGAGATCCTACTGACACAGGAATTGATATACCTAGATTTTTATTTTAGAGAAATGACTTCCAACTATGTGAAAAATGGATTGAAGAGGCTAAGTCTGGAGGCTAGGAGACCAGATGTCTATACTTATCTGAGAGTGAGTGACCAAGAACAGTATCTTCCATAGAATGAAGATCACCACATGAATTGAAGTGTTTCTTGTTCATTCCCCTCTTCCTCACAGTCTTCTACCACAGGTATCCTTATTAATCCTATGATGTATCTTGACTGGAGGGTTTCTCATAAAGTTGATATTTTGCTGCCACACAACTTGAATTTAAATTCCATCATCTAGCTTGCCTTCCATTTTGGGTTTGGTAAACTGCCATGTACCTTTGGACTGCTCCATAAAAAATAATTTATGAACTTTTAACAGACGTTGGTGTTCCCAAAGCGAAAGCCAAACCCTTCAGACTGAGCTAGACTTAGTCTAAGAAGACATAAGTAAGTAAAAGAGCTGTTATCCCAACTTGGAAGAAAAATATTGCCCTTGCATTTACTAGGCATTTCCATATTTAAATTCGAACCAACTTCTATCTTCTAGAGGACTCTATCTGGCTTCGTTAATAGAGCTCCCTGGGGTATGTCCTTAGCTTGGAGATTTTCTCAGGTCTTGAGTAACTGTTTGATATGCCCATCTCACCCTCCCCTTCATCCAAGATTTAAAGTAAAAATGTGTAGCATTAAAAAAAAAATGTGTAGCATAAACAAGGTCTTAAATCTTATCCCAAGAATTTGATAATGACAATACCAAAAAGCCATCTTGGGTCTTGGTTTCCTGAATTAAACAAGCAGATCAAGATTTATTATAACACGTCAAACACTCCCTAGGTCATAGGCATCTTGAGTCATATTATATAAAATATTTTTAGATATCATTCTTAAGAAAAGGTCAGCAGGGCTATGTAAAGGGATAAGAATCATCTTCCTTTTATGGTTAGTTTATACTAGGAAGATTTTTAAAAAATTAATCTGGAATTTGCCTTTGTATTTTCCATTTTTGACCACAAATACAAAACCACGAAGGTACAAAGCCTGACTTTTAGGACTCCTCCCATTGGCTTCTGCTAGGATCAGCAGGTCCATGTGCAAAATTGTCAGAAGGCGAAAGTGCTTTCTGAGATCTGTTTGGCAGTGGAGATCTCCCCTCTCCAACGAAGAACCACTGCAAATTATGGGGAAAGTGTCATGAGAGCACACTAGGGATCAAAAAGTAATCATGTCTCAGAAATGACATCTGTGGGAAAAGGCCCTAAACATACTTAAAGAGGATCCTGCCAGCACCTCCAAAAGCTACTACACTGGTAACCACAGAATTTTTGGTCACTTTGGAGCCTGTGGGTCTGATGTTCTTTCCCAAGCCCTAACATACAACCACAAAAGAGCCACGTGGCCTGGGCTGCCTAATAAGATAACTTTTTGGTTGGGTCTCTATTTTGATACCAGATGAGGCCCACCAGAGCATCCCATACCAAGGGAAATAAGTATTAGGAAACAATGGGAATAAATATGACTATATTTCACTTTTATCAAAACAATGAACATTATCAATATAGGTTTAAATGAAAGGAAATTTTAAGCCACCCTATTCCATGCTAGAATCAGATGCTCTTTGTTCTTTCCTGCTTTTGAGTGTTTGGTGAAGGATCCTATGATTTGAAGAAGGCAGAAGAGTTTGGAATGAGACCCCATCTGGTAAGGGTCATCTCTGAAACAGCCTGATTATCTGGTGGGAATGCTATCTCCTTGCTAAAAGCCTGTGGTTAGATTAATGCTAGCATTCGAAAATCTGCTCTGGCCTGATGGTGGGCCGCCAGAGGAGGAATGTGTTTTCTGTTTATCTCTTCAGCAGCAGCAATGTTCATCACAGAAAGACTCTGAGCTCCCAGTTTCAAGCAGGTCTGGAAGCTGCGCAGTCTGTGGCCTGTGAATGTACACACCAGTTCAGAATGAGAGAGCCAGGCCCGGGTTCACGGCCAGTTGCCTGCACTGGGTGATGGGTCAGGCAGTTTCTCCAGCTTGATAACAAGGGTAGATCCTGCCACATTGTCTGGAGAGGAAGTCTCACCACCCCCATTGCTTTATCTCCCAGGAATGCAGTTTGAATTGTATCTCCTCCTTGACAGCGTGGACCTCAGTAAATTACCAGGGTCTTGACCCAAGAGATGGAGAAGTTCTAAGCGATTTTTTTAGTCTCCTATCTAAAACTGTGTTTACATTTCCTGAACTCTGGCTGACTGATTCATTCTCCTGGTGTTGCAAGAACTTTCTTTATGCATTAGAATTTATAAGTTTCATTTCTAAGAGACCCAAGCTTCCTTCCAAGCCACAGTGAAGTGAACCTCATCTCAACACAATTCTGCTGGGCTAGATGTGTCCAGAGGATGGATCATGGCCAAGCAGCTGTGATGTGGCAAGCCCAAGCGAGGCTAATGGAGGGAGTGCGATGTGGAAGGAAAAGTATTAGAAACTAGGAAGATTTGGGTTCAGGTTCTAGTCTTACACTATTTCAAGGAATAGCCTCAAGCCAATCTCATGAAACCACTCTCTGGGCCTCAGTTTCCCCGGCTGTTTCAAAAAATAAATGTTTTAAATCTGTCTCCAAAAGCCACTTCCAAACAAGAAGAACAGGACAGCTGAGAAACAACAGAAAAGGAAAGGTCAGCCCACAAGGAATGAATAGAAACTCGGGTCAAAGAGACAAAGATGCCACTAGCTCTTAAAAGTAGCAAGCATAGAAATAACTTTTCGTTGGACACCCAGCCCACACTAGAGACTGACTAAAACCCTTGTCAGTAGAGCCATGTGCTTAGCTAAATCTGTTCCTCAAATAAACATTCCTTTATAAACATTAAATTCACTTTCTTGGGGATAAAAAGAAAAACAAAATAAATCCTATCCTTTCGCAGCATGGGATTTGAGTCTTGGACTCAAAATCGCTCCTGAAAACCTCACTAGTTGTACAAGCTCGGGTAGGTTAGTTCACCTTTCAAGCCTCAGCCTCCACACCTGGGCAGAGCAGGGATCCAGCAGCTGTGGAGGAAAATCATGTAGATCAACTCCACGGCCACGTCTGCGTGGCAGCTGCTTTGCGGCAAGTGCCACAATTTCCCTTAGTGCCCCCTCACCAGCCCTCCTTTGGCCTTTGCCTTTGTTTGCTTTATGTTTCCACTTCTCCTGTTGCCCTTCCACATTATAAGGGAAGAGCGAAATCTCTGATCTCTCTATCTGGAAGGCTGCAAAAGCATTTTCCTACTTCAGTCAAGTACGATCATACAAAATTTATATTCAACAGTATCAGCAGATATTTTCCCATCAATATTTCCTTTTTAATTTCAGCTTTATCTGAATTTTAGTAGCACAAGGAATTTACTTTAGTTCTCTGAAAGAGCAACCAAAACCAGAAAAATAGAAATCTGAGTATGAGTTCTCAACACGGTATTTAACATGCTGTGTAGACAATGCTTCTAGAGGGTACAGGTGTTGTTTAGTGAGTAAATACGGAGGTCATTGGGGTGTGTGTGTGTGTGTGTTTATGATCTTATATACATGAACTAGGTTTGTATGTATATAGTATATATAAAAATTAACTAGACCTAGATCTGACAACCTTGATCGTTTTCTCTGATTTTCACCATAGCAAACTCTGAATCCAGAACCTATCTTCTCACGAATCTTCATGAAGCCTCACCTTTGACCCAAAAACCAGAGAACCAGGTACAGTACTGACTCTGAATGAGCCTGAGACTGGGAGGCAGGAATTTCGGGTTCTTGTGCCAGCTTGCTGTGTGACCCTGGGTGAGATTGTTCCCCTCTCTGGGCCTCATTTGCCTCATCAGTAAAATGAGACGAGTGGATTATAAAATCACATAGGTTCCTTGGAATATCTTAACACAACCTGGACTATTTTGTGTGGCTCTTATGTACCTGAATGAGTTGGAACAGCCTTTCCCTGACTTCTGCAATGTCAAAAAGGCAACAAGGAAACACAGAAATGTATCATCCATCAAGGCAGTAGGCCCCAAGACTTTGTACTAAAGGGCCCATTTTTTTTTTCCATCCATTTCTCATTCCTAATGGGGAGGAGGAAAGTAGCAATCAAGAAAAAAAAGTAAGGATACCGTGAAGAAAGGAGAAAAATGCTTCATGTGGATGGGTCAGAAGTATGTATTAGTGTTTCAAGGATGTACCTTCACACATATTTATAAGTTTGTTCCTCCATTTGTGAGGTTGCAACTGTCTTCAGACTCACTCTAGAGAGACAACTCAGGGGAATTCCTAGAACGATGCCCAGGGTCTCCGAGAACCGAGGGAGAAGCAGCACAGCTCGAAGGCCTTCTCAGGTCTCTCCCTGCTGTGCGACAGCCTGGGCAGGGAGAGGCGGGGTATGATCTCCATTTCTCCCTTGTCCCCCGCTTCCTGAGCCTGGCTTTCTCCTCTTCCCTCACATTCATGAAAAAACAATAATAATAAAAATAGTTTTGTTTTCATGTGTGTGCCTAGCTGGGTTCTGAGGAAGGATCTGAACTCTCACTGTGAGAACCCCAGGCCTGGGTCAGGCCTCCGCTGAGGTAAAACACAGCTGAGCTGACCCTTCCTGCTGCTGAGGAACCACTGAACCAACCTCTGCATTTTGTTTTCTTTTCCTTTCTTTTATTATTTTTTTTTTTCTTTAACATGCCTGCTTTGAAGACAGCCTTTATTAGGGATCTAGAAGGTTTTCTTTTTTAAGAGAGTCTGTGACTAAGGAAAACATAACTATGCTATATTTTGCTAATTCCACAATTCCAAAGGCCTAGCAGATGCCTCCCGTATCCTAGACACGCTCCAAACTCAGTTCCAGTTCCAGAGGCGGCATTTCAGGAGGCCTAACATCACCTGCCATAAAAGGGTGGCTCGGCCACGTCAAAATGAAGCCCTAGACTGAATTATTAACCTCGTAGTCAGAAAGAGGAACACCAGACCGAGGGTCTTAAACTCTAATCCTGGGTTTCCCCTGTGAGGCAGCGGCCAACCTGCTTACTCCGAGAACTTCTCGAGTCTTCTTTGTGAAAGGAGGGCCCTTGCTCCCCCACAGAACCGGTGGGTTTGTTCAAGTCCCAGCAGTCGTACCCCCTTGAGAAGTCGCCCCCCAAAGGAAAGCCATTTGAGGGAAAGTCTAGGGAGCCCCACCACCCCTAAACCCAGAGAAAATGGGGGTGGGACGGAGGAAGGGAAGGGGGCTCCCAGGCCTCCCCCACCCCTGACTTCTTGAGGCCAACAGCCCTTTATTAGATTAATCACTGACTTCAATTTTAACTACTTCCTCAACCTACTCCATGTAAATGACTAATTTCATGTTTACTATAAAGCATCTGGAAAGGATTTAGAAACAAATTTCTGCCCAGCAGACTGCAGTCACGTACCTTGACTGGCCGCTGGCGAATCCAGTGGATTCCTTGCAGGGCTGCCTTCCCCGCTCTGAAGCAGGCTAGGATATCACACAAAATCGATCTTTATCATCATCAGCGGTTTCTACTTTTCTTTCCTTTCCATTAATTCCTCACTCACCCACCCCCTCCCTTCCCTCTCCGGGGTCTGACCATATTAGGAGTTCGGGCCCCTAAAACACTTGCAACTTTTTTTAGCATTGCGCTAGCTGCGAGGAAAGCGGGGGAGAACCAAAAACAAAAACCCACCAGAGGTGGACTCTTCGGGCGTCACCGTGCTTTCACAAGTCACAGAGCCAGATTCGGAGAACGAGTTCTGCCGTGGGGGGGAGGGGGGGCGGCAGGGAAAGCCAGCCGGGACCGGGTTCGCGGATTCGGGGCCCCGGCAGCGGGAGGCTGCCCCCCGGGTGCCCCCTAGCGGCTGCATGGGAAACTGCGGCGGCGCGTGGCGTCGCCGGCGGCGCGCGCAGCGGAAGAGAGCGGGAAGGACCCGGGCTCCCGCCTCCCACTAGCGCGGTGGCCGACCCCGGCGACTGGCTCCCGAGGCGCCCCCTCCACACCTGGCCGAGGATCGGGGCCTCGAGGCAAACTCGCCGAGAGAAATGGGAGTAGCCACGACCTCGACAACTTCCCGGGAGTTGGAGGAGGGGGTCGAGTCGCCGAGCGAGGGCGGAGAAACTACAAGGGCAAAAACGTGCAGATGAAAAGAGCAGTGAAAAGAGAAAAAGGAGACAAGCAGACATGTTTCAACTCCAAGCTCCCACTTCCTCTTTCAAACGCACTGCCTCCCCACTGTGAACAGAATCAAGTATTTATGAAGGCATTTTTTGCATATTAATAGCCGCATACGGAGCATTGCCAGTTCTGAAGTCCTCAAGGTAGGATGCCCTTTTTTTAATGCAGGTCCTCCAGGCTCCTCACGGAATCCGGGATCCTCCTTCACCTGTAATTTTCCTTCTGCCTTGTGGCTCCTCCTCGGGCCTTTCATTTGATTAAGAGAAATTAGTTCCCGCACACGGTCGGCCGCGGAGTCCTGCTCTTAACCTGGGTGGCTGACATCAATCGCTAGAGAAGCTTCTCGTCTTCCCCAGGGCCTCTCCCTGGCGAGACTGCAGGTTGGGTGAGGTGACCGGCCCCTAAAAAGAGTATTAAAGTTGTAAATGAAAATTCCAGCAGGAAATGTTAACGTATCTATGCTGTAGGGACAGAAAGGCAAAACTTAAAAAATAAATAAATAAATAATAAAGTTTTTTTTAAAAATGGTGTTAACTGTGACAGCATGGCTATCTATGCTCAACAAAGATGACATGCAATTTTAAAAGAAAAACAGTGAGAACCAGTTTAGAGAAGTAAGTAAAAGACATAAACAATTTATATCAAAAATAATAGCCATAGGAAATAAGGATGGAAAAGTATCCTGAGTGGCAGTTTGAATGCAGCTTAGGACAAACTGGAGGTATCATTATCTCCAAAATGATATAAAATATCTTTTTATATTTGAGGTATATGCCTCCTTCCACTTTTTTTTTAATGGTAACCCCCTGGACTGCCTATGTTTTGGTGGCACTGGTAAACTTAATACACTCCTGGTGGGTTGTAATTTGGTTTAATCCAGTTGTAAAGCAAACTGGCAATATAAATTTGTGAAGCATGAAAAAAATATTCCCCCTCGTTTGTTCAGTATTTCTGACTCCTAGGAATTTATCTTAAGGAAATAATTCAGCTGGAAAAAAAAAAAAAGTGAGTGAAGATGTCCACTACAGCATTATCTATAATAAGGAAAAATTGGAAACACCCTACTAGTCCAACATCAGAGAAATGTTTACCTTAATTATGACATCTCCCTCTTGGTGAGTGGTTTAATTCATTCATGAAAAAATGATGCTTGTTCATACTAGAAACTGTGACTTAATGCTCACAGTTTCTCAGCCTCCACACCATCAACGTTTTGCACCAGATACTCTCTGCCTTTGGGAGCTTTCCCATGTGTTGTAGGATGTTGAACAATATCCCCAGCCTTTTACCCAGTAGATGCCAGTAACGGAGCCCCACACTTGTAACCATAAGAAGTGTCTCCAGACCTTGCCAAATGTCCCCTGAGGAGAAATATCAGCGCCCCCCCAGTTGAGAACTACAGATCACATTTTTAAAAGTGGAAGTCGAAGTGATATTATCTAGAACTAACTGCAGCTATGGGAAAAATAATAAATGTATCTACGAGGAAAAGACTGGCAAAAAAAAAATATGCAAAAAATTGCAGTCATGCTCATTTGAAATTAAGGCTATATTGAGGTGAGGTTTTGGTTTGTCTTCTTGTTTTTCACTGCTTTTCTTTCTTTCCTTTTTTTTTTTTTTTTTTTTCTTTTTCCAAAATTCTCCCTGTAAGAAGGAAAATGAATCAAGCGGAAAACTGGTTTTATTCAAGTCTGGCTTAAAGTGATCTAGGAGTCAGAGTAACGAAGCATACAGCAAACTGAACAAGACTGTAGTGCCATTGTTTTTTAACTACTGTTAGTTAAAATTATTAAGTTTTTATTAAATATTTGGGATAGGGGCACCAGAATTCTCCTTTGAAAGATCTCAACCCCTTGTCAGCATTTTATCCCTCTGACCCTAGGCCTCAAGGGACAGTGAATTTGCCTCTTTTTTGGAAAAGTTTGATTCTCAAACGATGAATCTCTTGTGCACTCAGATCCATCCATGTAAGCTGGAAGCAAGAAGGGTCCTTAGGCCACTGGTTTATGGAGCTGTCAGGGCAGAGAGCTTGTCAGTAAAGAGTATCAAAGTACATGCTCCAACCTTAATTAGATTTCCCAAGAATCACTGCATCTCTTTGTTTAAAACAAGAAAGAAACTATCTCACCACTTTTCACGTTGTCTATTTTCTCCCTTTGTTAAGGAAAGCAAACATCCTTTCTCACATGCTTTATCTTGGGTTTTGTTTTGCTGCTTTGTGGGGATTAGAACTTTGGTAGTGTCCTAAAAATCCTGTTAAACTGGAATTATGTCCCTTTTTCTCCATCTCACAAAGCCACTTCTATTTCAACCTATATTATCTCTTAAGTTGAGGTTTCGTGAGTTTTTAAGAGTATGAATTTGTGTTTGATCTTAGGTGTCCTAAATTTACCTCTTTGGGATTTCAAAGAGTAGCCTGTAATTCTAGCACACTAGGATTTAAGTTGAATAAACCTATGTTTACCCCATCTGTTTCCTTGGTGGTTTCACAGATGGTGTTCATATCCCCTTTCAGCCTTCCTCTTGCAGGACAAAAAAACAACAGCATACACA